GGAGTTAAGAGGTAAATGGGAGCAGAGAGATGGGTCTTAAGTTGTTCAGGTTGGTGGGGTCCAGGGAGGGCTTTTTAAGTATGGGAGGGATGTGTGCATGCTTTAGAGATAAACTTTCAAACTATGTAAAGAATACATTCTAAACCTTTTTAGAATTAAACTGAAACTATTATATTTAAAGATAAACTCCGTAAGTTCAGCCACTTTGATACAAGTGCAGGGATACTAGGTGCCTTGTGGATTTATCTCTATTTTTTTTATATCTGACATGTTTACGGTGTTCAAGTAGGATACACTCGGGACTCTGAGAGAAACACACAACTGCAGCTATGCCCGCCCCTCCCCTCTGTAGCCCGTTCACTGAAGTCTTTGTATTTTGTGAATGATTTCACATAATACAAAGACTTCTGTGATTCGGCAGGAGGAGAAGTGGGCATAGCAGTTACATGTACTCTGCACTTGAAGGGTCTGAGGCCACAAGGTCTAGCTATCTTCCTGGAGGCCATAAATCAAAGTAGCTGAATTCCTGGCGCTCAACTTTAAAAGTAAATGTGCAGTTTCATGCAAAACCTGTTCATGAATTACTTTTTAAACTGGAGTTGGAATTGTGTCAGTTCTGCATTTTTGCCAACCCTAATTCTGAAGTGGCTCCTGGAGTCTTAGCTTATTGTCCGCTTTAGAAACTTTTGCTGTGGCTTCATACTACATCGGAAACTACCACTTTAGATCAAAAACTCATTGGAACAATTCTAGGTACAGCTGCCTGTGAAATGCAAATATTTATTTATTTTTATTTTTTTTGCGCCTGCACTACAGGTTTGTCTTAAAAGCGTTTTAATGAAGGATGTTTTCATTTTGGTGTAAAAATCTCATTTTTGGAATACAGTTTTGGAAGTGAAAGTGTTTGAGCTGTAGCTGCTCATTTCTTGAACAGGGATAGGTTGCGGTTGATTTGCAATTATTTTTCTCATTTAAGACCTTGTGAGTGGTCTTGTTCTGTGACCATTCATGAGGTCTCCTGCTTTATAGAAGAATATTTCCCTTTTTAAAATTGTTGGTACACCTAAGACACTACAAGCCAGCTGTGCTAATAAAGGATGTGAACCTTTGCATATGTTCCAAATGCGCTATTTTGTTTTCTGTATTTACCTGACCTTGAACAAAAATCTGTACCAAACTCTTTACAAAAGTTATTATTAAAATTAATAAATGTAAACAACCTAATTGAAGTTTTTGATTTTATTGTAGGTTAATGGTCCTGATGGGATATTACAGAATGGCACAGTAGATGATGGGGTGGGAAAAACAAGCCAGTTGCTGGGTGAGCTAAATTTTGAAGAAGATGAAGAAGATACATATTATACGAAAGATCTCCCTTTACATGCTTGCAGGTGGGTCTTTTATATGCACAAGTTATTAGGTTCTTTGTGGTGAGTTTTTTTTACCAGGTTATGTATACCATTAACCTGTACTTTGTACTCTATAAACTTAAAGTAGTAATATACTTTTTTAGTTTAACACATTGAGCACAATAAAATAAACATTCCCCAGTAAGCTGTTTTTTAAAATTCTTACCCCAACACTTGCAGTTTACAACATTCAGGCCTCATTCACACCATATGTGCAGAAAAACTGATGGAAACTGACACGCAGATTTCACTTGCAGGGACATCAGTTTACATCTGTTTTCAAGTGCATTTCAATTAGTTTTATACACCTAGATTCCTGTGCAGAGACAATCTGCATGTTTTATTCTAGTGTTGCGGTGTGAACAGGGCACATAGAGAACAATTGATTTTTTTTTTTTTTTTTTTTTGTACCCTTGCAGAATGCGTGCAGAAAAACTGACATCTCTGTACCATGGTGTGAAGGAGTCCTTAATGTTTCTGGCTTCTGTTTTTAGTGCTGCTTCCCTCAACTTCTCTCACAGGAGAGCTTTAAAGTGGAACTAAACCCAAGGATGGTTTAAGAAAACCATTACATTCCCAGCATGTGGGAAAAGCTGTCTTATTTGCTTATGCTTTCAAGCAGACTGGCTGGTGTCATAACTGATCACGTGTAGCACCATGGTAGTTGCAGATCACACAAGGGCTAAAATGGCAGAATAGTTTAGTTCTGTTTTAAAGTGTTGGTTTTTTTTTTTGTTTTTTTGTTTTTATTAAACCTTACTGCATTCTATGTAAGGTAAAAAAAAAAAACTTTAGTGCAGCTTTCCCTGCAGCTCCCCTAAATACATACCTGAGTCCAATCTCAATCCATTGATGTGCATGAGAGCCGAGCCTCTGCTTGCTGAGACCCAGCAGTAGGAGCCATTAGCTCCCACTCCTCGTCCATCAGACCCAGTGACAAGGTAGTAATGGACACAGAGTAGGGCTCGGGAGCGAGCATGCACAAGCGCCCCCACAGCAAAGGGCTTGCGCGGGGGGTAGCCAGTACCCACCAGTAGGGGGACCCAAGAAGAGGAGGATCGGGGTTGCTTTGTGCAAACCATTGCACAATGTAGGTAAGTATGACGTTATTTTAAAACAAAAAAAGAGATCCTTTAATATTTAAAGCGGAGTTACAATCGCACTGTGAAAAAATAAGTCAGCAGCTACAAAAACTGTAGCTGCTGGCTTTTAAAAAAAAAAAAACAGCCACTCACCTGTCCTTCGATCCCGATGTGTTCCAGGCGCCGGCATCTTCAGTGTTGGGCACCCATCTGTGACAGCTTGCGGCTTCTTGAATGGTCCCGTAGTCTTCTGGGACCTGTCATGTGTCCCAGAAGACTACAGGGAGGGAGGGTAGGTGGACAACTTCTGCTTTCGATCGCCTATGTGATCGCAACGGAAGTGGGAGCGGCTCCACTTTAGGTGAACAGTGCCGTCTCCAGTTAGTGTGTTTGCTTGGTGAAGGGACAGGAAGGATGAGAGGAGTGCCTTGCGTTCCAAGGAGCTACGGGTTTGTGTGTTTCTATTGATGCACACAGTGTAGGGGAACGCAGCTCTTGTCCCTACATGCAATTGTGGCTCCATATACACTGCAGGAGGAAGGCATTGCCATGAAACGGGAAACCTGGGACCATGGCATCAGGTTAAACAGGAACATAGGCAAGAATTAAAATATGAAGAAGCTGGTTACTCAGGAATGATTGATTCAGCTGCTGAAAGTGCTTAAAACAAACTGGGGGTTCACTTTAAAAATGCAATATTAAACCCCAAAGTCAAACCAATACTTGGATGTGGTGGCTGCATTAGTTTTCTTTTTTAGGCTTTTTCATTTATTTTCACCTGGTGATCTTGCCAGTAAGTCTTTTTTTTTTTTTTTTTTAACAGAACATGCTGTCCTGCAGATGTATCAGTCACAGGGTGGAGACAAACCATTTAACACTGATGGGGGTTCTTACAATCAGTCTTACGATCAGCTCTTTTAAAGTTTAAAGGAACAAAACTTTTGCTGTATCTGCTTATAAAGTGTTGGAGTTTGGCTGCAATTTGTTCATGCATTCAACACTAGAAACCCCCCCCCCCCCCCCCCCCCCCTTGATTGACTACGCTGCTGTCAAGAGGTGTCTCTGTTGCTCCTTCATCCAGAGTGTAGGCACCCTAATACAGGAGGTGTGTTACTAGCCAGACCAACAAGTAATGAGTGAAAAAAGCCTATGAAAAAAAAACTAAAGCAACCACCATTGGTAAGCTGCAATATATTACCTTTTTGGGGTTTAAGGGTTGGTTCATACTGGATGCGACTTGGCATGCGATTTGCATGCCCTGCAACTTGCAAATCACATGCCAAGTCGCACCCTATTGTCCGCTATCAGAGCGGTCTTATCGGAGCAGTTCCGACTTGGTCAGAGCCGCACCGATTTCTAAAGTAGTACTTGTGATTTGCATAGATATCTGTGTCAGATGTCTTGCAAATCACAAGGAAATCAGCATCTCACCCGACTTTGAAATCGTGCGACTTCACTGTAAGTCACACAATTTCAAATTCGGATTTGATGTGAACGGAGCCTAATACCGCTTTAAGATATATGTACCTTTTTATCTCTTAGTATGAAAAAGCACATGACTTGTCAAGCTGGTGCAGTGTCATGAAGGAATTTTATGTTATGTTGAAGTGAATGGGCGACGTACTGGTCTGCATTAAAGTGAATTTGTGCTTTGCCAATGCAAAGGGAAGCAACATGTTAATTTAACTAGCATCCTCCCCAGCAGAATGTATTCTTTCATATACACAAATGTATATATGGTTAATATACAGCATGCAGGGCTAACAAAGCATTGGAATGCATTAAGAAGGGTATTTACTCAAGCATAAAGCTATAATTCTCCCACTTTTCAAAACCCTGCCACCTCTTGAGTATGCTGTCTAGTTCTGGTCCTTCAGTCCAGAGAAGAGCAACACCGCTAATAAGGGGGCTGGAAGACCTCAGTTACGAGGAACAACTACATACATTAAACTTATTCTTTCTGGAGAAGAGGCACTTAAGAGGAGATATAATTGCAGTGTACACATATCTATATGGTGATTCTAGCATAGGGAGTAAACGATTTAATCTTAGGTCTGTTTAGAAGACACATGACAACTAAATGAAATTGGGAGAGAAGCAGTTTAATTTTGAACTGTGTAAGGGGTTCTTTACTGTTAGTCATAAGGATGTGGAACACTGTAGGTGTCAGTGGGGGGTGTAAATACTTTCAGAAAACTTTTAGATTTGTATTAGCGAACACAATAGACAGGGATGTAGGAAATGGTAGTGACATAACACATGCGCACACACACACACACCTGGATAAACTGGTCTCTTTAGTCAACCTTGCCAACTATGTAAGTAGTTTAGCTACTTGGAGCATTTTTCTGTGCCTATTGCGCTCTTTATTTTGTCATTTAACATGATTTAGAAATGGTACTTGGGTTTTGTACATTGATATATTCAAATACAATTTAGATACAATATATGTAAATATTTTTGCTACCAGAAATGTCATTGGCAAACTTAATACTGGATTTCTATTTACAGCTACTGTGGTATTCATGACCCTGCTTGCGTGGTCTACTGTAACACAAGTAAAAAGTGGTTCTGCAATGGACGTGGAAACACCTCTGGAAGGTATGTGGAATTTTGAGGTCTGAATTTTGCAGGTTTGTGTATGGGATTTTTTTTTTTTTTTTTTAGCAGAGACATGTAGCAGAATACGTTTTGGCCTAAATTTATGATGAAACTGCATCTTTAAAAATTTTTTACTGGACATGTTTAATAGCAAAAAGTCAAATATTGTTTTTTGTTTTTTTTTTTTTGTTTTTGTTTTTTTTTTTGTTAATAGTGCAAAAAATAAAAACCGCACAGGCAATCAAATACCACCGAAGAAAGCTCCTATTTGTGGGGGGAAAAAAGGACATAAATTTAATTTGGGTGCAGCATTGCATGACTGCTTAATTGTCAGTTAAAGTAATGCAGCGCTGTAACGCAAAAAAAAAGTGGCCAGGTCAGGAACGGGGGCAAATCCTCTGGAGGGCAAGTGGATAATAATTCACATTTCCAACATTTGTTTGTTTGGTTTTTTTTTTTTGCTGGTGTCCATAGGTGATGGACCTGTGTCTCTGCTGGGAAAGCCTTTCTGCTCAAATGCACAGAATTCTGCTGCATTTGTGTTTTATCTGCTGAGCCTTGGTGCTCCATAGCAGTAGCAGTTTTCTGGATTAGTCCCTGTGGAGGAACTGTACCTGGACCCCAGTGGGAAGAATGGGGAAGGCCTGTAAGCTGGGACTCTGGGGGGGGGGTCAGATGAGCCTCTGCTCAGCTGCACAGAAAAGTGCAGGATCTGGCGGAGCAGTTCTGTCCTCCCTCCTGCTCCTGACTGCTGGAAAAGGTGGGGACAGAGACTAAGGGGGGTGCCGTAGCTGCAGGAGAGGTGCGATGGCAACATGAAATAGCCTGGTGGGCCGGATTCATTCTATAGGCCTTGTGTTTGACAGATGTGGTTTAGATCTAAAACTAATAGAGATTTCTTTTGTATGCCATCAAATGAGAAATATGCCCTTTTGCTAGCCATTAACTCCTTCAATATCTGTGAACCAGTTTCTGTGGTGTTCTCATCTAGCTTCTATAGTTTGTGTTTGACTAATTTTTTTCCCTTCCTTTTAGCCACATTGTAAACCATCTGGTCAGAGCAAAGTGTAAAGAAGTTACTTTGCACAAGGATGGACCTCTGGGAGAAACGGTATTGGAATGCTACAACTGTGGTTGCAGAAATGTGTTTCTTCTTGGATTTATCCCTGCAAAAGCTGATTCAGTGGTTGTGTTGCTGTGCAGGTAAGTGTGGTTGATAAAATGTACTCCTTTCACCCTTGCTGACATGCGGTTTTTTGCTTTATTATCCCATTTAATTTTTTTTTTTTGTGGTTTTAGTACATTTATAGTGCTTGGTTTCTGTAGGATTTGGACACTGGCAAATAGTGGCCAGCCTGATATAACCTTTCACACTTTCAGTATACCTCAGTTTTTTGCTAGTACACAAGGAGCATGGGACACCTTTTTCTCTACCCAGATAACACTAACCTTTTTGCTAGCTCCTTTTTTTTTTTTTTTTTTTTTTTTTTTTTTCATCAATATTCTTCAACATACTGCCTGAGCTGATGTCTATATGCAGTTACCCAGATTGGTATATTGACAGTAACTTTGCATGCCTTACCCAGAACCTGCTGGAGTGGATGCTTGCCTGTTGGACGCCATTGTTTATCCTTATTTTTTCCGTTGGCTTACCAAAGAAGGGGTCCCAACTGAGGGACTGATCACTGCTCCACTAGGTGTGGTGTACACTCAATGTTCTTGTTCCCACCTTGCAGTATGCGGTAGCACCTTTCAGCACTGCTCCTAATAATCACCTTGGTTGGTCTTTCCTGCCTGCTTACAGTAAACTGCTCAGCTGTGGACCTCTTCTGCCAGCAGCTGTGTTGTGAGCATCAAAATCTTGGCCTTGAACCCCTGGGCTACGTTGTCCTTAACCTTGCAGTGCAACATGTCAGTTTCCAAACACATGGAGAACAGTCCCTGATGTACTAGGACCCTCCAGTTCATGGTCCGCTAACTATGACTGTCAATATCAGGCCCTTGAGAGGGTTCAACCCCTCCTCCGTTTTGTCTAAGGGAAATTTATGCAGGACTTCTTGGGCCAAATTGCAACCTTGATCAGAGAGGTTATAAGCTTACATTCATGCCTCATTCTGCAGAAACTTTGTATATTTCTTAAGGCCTTAGCAGCCACTGAGCTGCCTCCTGTAGAAACATTGATGAGGAGTCTCAGAAATTCTTTGAGAGACTGTTCCAGCTCTTATTGATGCAGGGCACACCACCGTAAAAATGGATGAACAGCCTGTAACTTTTATTAGTGCTGCTACCTGTCTAAAAGTCCCTTTTAGAAGTCCTAAGACTGCTTTCCGATACACATCCTTAATAAGACTCCTCAAAGCCTCCCAGTCTCCATCTTCTCTTGTTCCTGTCAATATCACATTAATAAAAGCATGACTATTCCTGTATGGATCCCATAGATAATTGTTTGGAAATTCTTTCCAAAATCTTGTTTTCTCTTGTAGTGTTTGCATTGCAAACTGCCCTGGCTGTGATCCTAGGCTGACAAACAGGGAAATGGATTGGATTAATGGAAGGGATCGGTTTCCTCCACTCTGATCACGTATTTATGCAGCTTTTTAGCGCTCATGCCAACATGGATAGATTGGTTCATGTCACCTGTATTTCCTGTATGAGCCCTCCTGTTAGACTTGCAGAAGACTCCTTGACTGTAATGTTGACCAGCAGAGAAATGCAGAAAAGTGAATGGTTTGCATGCCCTTCAAGGGACAGTGTCTCTTGGCGCTGCTTTGGATGCTCATCAAGGATGTTACCTGAGTAAGAATACTCAAATGCCCAACTAGAAGAAGCCTAGGTCTCGGACAGGGAAGTTCGCTCCTTCCAAGGCCTAGAAAAGTATTTCACTAACCCACATACAATTTTTCATTGGCATGATAGATGTTCCTCTACTTACAAAAGTAAAAAGCTGGCCATACACTGCGGATTTCGCCCAGTGGGTGAACTTGCTGGCCCTGCTTCATTTGGCAAAAGTCATTCAATTGACTTGTTGAAAGAGCCCATTGGAAAATTTTTGCCTAAACAGTGGCTTCAAACAATCAGTTGATGGTTGAGTATTTTGACAGCCTGCAGGGCAAGCTGTTAGAATACAGTAAGCACTGCAGAAGATTTGCTCATTGGTGCTATATAGCGTTTTTGTTTTTTTTTTTATGTTTTTCTCCTGTCAAACCCACAGGCCAGCTTTAGACTTTTGCAGACACTTGGACATACTGTATACTGCCTGGGTACAGAAGGTAGCTTCCAAAGGCTACAAGCTATACTAGGGTTCCTTTGTCAGCCCCCTTCCCCATTCATGTCTTCCAGCCTGCCTGTGTTTTTTTTTATTTAATTTAAATTTTTTATTCAGTTTTACATATAAAATACATGTTCCATCATTACTCTCAATATAACATAGAAAACCATCCATTATATCCCCTGCTATCATTATTCCCATTACCCCCCTCCACCCATCCCTGCCCACCCTGAAACCTACCCCTCCCCCCCAAAGAAAAATAAATAAATAAAAAATAAATCCACCCACTCTGCATCTCTCCATTACATATTTTCCTAAATAAGGGTTACTTTCACATATCCCACTCTACTGCTTCATGTATTTCACCTTGGGCTCAAAATCTTCCCATTTTCCCCATCTCCTATAATATACATCCATCTTGTCTTCTTGCATATAATACAGTTTCTCCATTCTACATATCTGATTCACTCTTTCCGCCCAATCCTCTTCTTTCGGCACCTCTGAGCTATGCCAAAACATAGGTATCAGACCCTTTGCCGCATTTAGATAATACCGTATGCTCGAATCTTTGTATTTGTTCACTGATAACTCTGTACCATGTAACAAGCACAACTCTGGATCCAATCCTATCTTTATCCCAGAGATTATCCCAATTAAGCGAACCATTGTCTCCCAAAAACCTTGAATCTTTGGGTACTCTCACCATATGTGGTATAACGTACCTATCTTTCCACACCCCCTCCAACACTCTGGTGTATTCTCCCCACTCATCTTATATTCTACGTTCGGTGAAATGTGCCATCTTGTTAAAAACGTATAATTTACCTCCACCTCTCTCATACTTACGTTCTCTCGTGTGTTAATCTATATATTTTTTCCTCTGTTTATCTTCGTCTATCTCTATTCCCAAGTCCCTTTCCCATTTTGTTATATACTTTGGCTTTGTGTGTGTCTAACTCAGTGAGAATGTTATAAACTTTTGCCGTGCCCCGTTTCCCATCTCCATGTGATTCCAACAACCTCTCAAACTTATTCCAATCCTTTCTTACTCTCAAAGGTTTCAGAAGACTCCCAACAAAGTGTTTTAATTGGTGATATCTCCACTCATCTATCTTAATAAAAAGTTCCCTTTTGTCCCTTTTTCAATTCCTTAAGTGTTCTCAATTCCTGCCCTTCCATAATATCCCTCAGTTGAATATCCTCTTTTTTAAACCATTTTCCTGTGCTCTCCTCCCTACCTGGGGGGAAATACTCCGTGTTCCTCAGTGACATTAATTGTGAATTAAAATCCCACTTCATAAGCTTGTGCAATTTATCACAAACCCTTATAACATTTAATGTATAAACACTCGTGGTATCTTTTAATCCTCTATATTGTGCTGGTGCCCATATGATTTTACTCAAGTTAACTCCGCTTAATTCATTTTCAATTTTAACCCACCTTTTCCCCTCTGGATTGTGTGTCCAGTCATAAATTCTTGCAAGAACTGCTGCTCTATAATACCTCTTGATATCTGGCACTCCCAATCCTCCCTTCTCTTTATTTCTACTCAGCAAATCATAAGATATTCTAGGTTTTTTATTTTTCCATATGTATCTTGCTAACATCTTTTTAATTACCTTAAAAAAACCTCCAGAAGCCTAATTGGGATCATCTGGAATTTATATAGGATTTTAGGTACAATTACCATTTTTATCAGATTTATGCGCCCTATCCAAGACGGGTCACCTCCTCCTAATTTCTTCAATTCCTCCTTAATCTCATTTAAAAGTGAGATGTAATTTAACTTATAAGTTCGTATGTGAAGCAGTGAGTATAACCCCTAGATATTTTATCTCTCTCTTTCCATATAAAAAGGGAATTCTTTTTGTATCTTCTTTTTCACTATTTGGAAGATTTACATTTAAGATCTCTGTTTTTTGCTGGGTTAATTTTCAAATTTGATAACACCCCATAATCCTTTAAACTCTTCATTAAATTTGGGAGTGTTATCCTAGGATTTCCCACATAGAACAACAGATTGTCCGCAAAAGCAGCCACTTTATGTTCAATTCCTCCTATCTGTATTCCTTTTATGTCCATATTTTTCGAATTGTTGCCAGTAAAGGTTCCAATGATAATACATACAACAATGGGGACAGTGGGCATTCCTGTCTTGTTCCATTTGATATCCCTATAGGTTCCGACCTCTCTCCGTTAACCAAAATAACTGCGGAGGGCTCTCTATACAATATTCCTATCCACTCTCTCATTCTAACTCCCAATCCTAGAGTCTCCAGAGTGTCCATCATAAAAACTCCAATCTACTCTATCGAATGCCTTTTCAGCATCGATTGAAAGCACCACCGCTGGAGTTTTCCCCTTCCTGGCTTTTTGGATAAGCTACAAAGTTCTCAACCCATTGTCTCTACCTTCCCTCCCTGGTACAAAACCCACCTGGTCCCCCTGGATCCAGTCTGGCAATAAATCTTTCAACCTATTTGCTAAAACCTTTGCATATAACTTAGTGTCTATGTTCAAAAGTGAGATTGGTCTATAGCTAGAGCACTGAGAAGCATCCTTCCCTTCCTTTTGAATAAGCGCCACATGGGCCTGTAAAGATTCTCACCTCATCTCCATCTCCCCACCTAGAGCGTTCATATATTTCTTCAATTTCGGTATCAACAAATCACTATATTTTTTATAGTACCTCACAGTATAACCATCTGGGCCTGGGCTTTTTCCCGTCATAGTACTTTTTAATGCTATTATTATTTCCTCCTGCGTAATTACTAAATCAAGGGAAATCAGTTGATCTTCACTCAACTTCGATAGTCCAGCGTTTTTTAAATATATCCTTCATTCTCTACTCACATTTCCACTTTTATTTATTGAATCCTGGGAAGTGATATTATACAGCTTGCTATAATATTCCTTAAACACCTTGGCGATCTC